GTAGCTGCGGGCGCGATGTTCCTCTTGTAGGGAGTCGCATAGCTCGCCAGGTGTAATGTTGGACCAGCCAATGGCGGAGTGGGAGAGGCGGGAGTCGTGAAGCAGGGACGAGCTCGCGTCGTCATCATCGACAACGCGGTTCTTGCGCAGCTTCGACCACAACGCGTTCAGGTGGTCTGGCCGGCAGAAGCTGGAGGCGAGGTCGCCCTTTGCCTCCCAATACGCCAGCTTGTTGCTGCTCATGATGACGGTGCTTGGCGCAAGCGCCACACCATATGTCGACGCAGCTCACAAGCGGTGCTACTACTACTACTACACTTTGCGGCTGCTTGTACTCCTGCTTGTTTGCTACTGTTGTTGTTCGTGATGGGGGTGAACGTGTGTGCGTGCGTGTCTGTGTGTCCTTCTTCTTGGAAGAAGGTCGGGATGTGCGGCGGTTCGTGGATGTGTGGAAGCGGAAGTCGTTTTTTCTGTGGTTGCGCGTCGCAGCCAAGATGGCGCTGAATGCAATTTATGCTGTTGTGGCTGTCGAGTGTGTGTGTGTGTGTGTGTGTGTGTGTGTGTGTGTGTGTGTGTGTGTGTCTGTGTGTGTCTGTGTCTGTGTCTGTGTCTGTGTTCCTTTCTCGCTCTCGCTCTCTCTCTCTCTCTCTTGCTCTCTCTTGCTCTCTCTTGCTCTCTCTTGCTCTCTCTTGCTCTCTCTCTTGCTCTCTCTGGTGACCTCTCACCCCACAAACAACCAACGTGTCGTTTACTCCCTTCCTTCCCCCCTCCGGCCGTTCTCCCAACCCCCGTCACATTTGTCAGCCATTCAACGACGGAAAGAGCTGGCATTCAATGTTGATGTTGCGCACCCGCCACGTGTCTTGCAAAAACGGGTCCTGTGCCAGCAGGCACGCCTGTCGAAAGTGTCCAATCACTGCGCCGGGACTACGCACAAGAAAAGCACGTGAATGCGTGCATGTGTGAGGAAGGGAAGCTGAGTGGCTCAAAAATGAGCTGGACGAATCGAAGGGCAGACCCGCACACTGATGTTAACGCGCAACACACACGCACACTGATGTTAACGCGCAACACACACGCACACTGATGTTAACGCGCAACACACACACACACACACAGATGTTAACGCGCAACACACACACACACACTGATGTTAACACGCAACACACACACAATCTGATGCTAACGCGCAACACACACACGCACGCACACGCACACGCACCTGTGTACGGTTCCGTGGACTTCGACAGCAAGAAGGCCGTGTGGTTCGAGCATGCCGCTGTGTCATTCATAGCAGAGCACAAACGGGTCAGGCAACAACCAACAGTGGTACGGTGGTGCAGGGTAGAGCAAGGCATTGCGTTGAAAGGCGGGGGAGGCGAAGGCCCATGGGGCAGAGTGATGGGAACGGAATGCAATGACACGCGTCATCGTACCGGATGCCGCCGTCGCCCGGCCGAAACAGGACGTTGTCCTGCTGCGGTAATTTCGTTAAGCGGTGCCTATGATTGCGTGGTGTTGAGGGTTGGGGGAAGAAAGAAAGGAGTGAGTTGGTGTGAAATGGGAGCCAGTGTGTGTGTGTGTGTGTGTGTGTGTGTGTGTGTGTGTGTGTGTGTGTGTGTGTGTGTGTGTGTGTGTGTTTCAGGTGGAGAGGAAGAAACATCTGTGGGTTGTTGTGGTTGTATGCTGTGGCTGACGTACACGACGCTGGCAGAGCCTTGGTGTTGTTCTATTTGGCCTGCGGGTGCCACGTGCAGGTTGAGCTCGCAGTCGTCAAAGAAGAGGTCCGTGGTGAAGGATGGCGGGTCAAACATGCCGAAGAACACCTCGCAGAACATCTGCAGTTGGTGTTGACAGAGGTGAGCAGAGGACGAACGACATGTGCGAGTGTTGCAGATACGGAGCCGCAGAGATAAAAAGTTGCCCAGACACACAAACAGACACATTCATAACACGCACACACATGCACACACGCACACACATGCGCACACACACGCACGAGTGCGAGGTTGTTCGGGTCCTGCTCGTAGGCGACGACCTCTGTGTCTTGCGAAGGAACGGCCAACGCAGTGCCAGGCTGTTGCTGCGGTTGGTGGTGGTGGGGTTGGTGCGGCGGCGATTGGTGGTGTTGGTGGTGTTGGTGGTGTTGCTGTTCCATGGCCATGGCATTTTGTGTCTGTACGTGTGTGTCTGTGTGAAAGTGTCTGTGTGTGTGTGTGTGAAAGTGTCTGTGTGTGTGTGTGTGTGTTGTGTCCGTCTACCTGTGCCTTTGGTTGTGTTCGCGCCCTCACCACGACAGCACCAAACTGGAAATCGCTGTCATGGTGTGTGTGCCATGGGGAAGTGGAAGCCAGGCCTCACACGTACCGTGGCATAGTCGTACAACACTTGTCTTCGAACTCTCCTCTTTGACAAGATGTAGCGAGGGTTGTCCGTGTGTTGAACAAGCGCCGTGATGGCAGCTGTCATGGGTGAGGGAGAGGGGGGAGTGTCTGTCTGTCTGGGTGGGTGCGTGCGTGTGTGTGTGTGTGTGTGTGTGTGTGTGTGTGTGTGTGTGTGTGTGTGTGTGTGTGTCTGTCTGTGTGTGTGTGTGTGTCTGTGTGTGTCTGTGTGTGTGTTTCTGCCTGCCTGTCTGCCTTGACGCGTGTCGTGAACTCGTGTACCATGCTTGCCTCAAACGTCCCCCATTTGTGTTCATGGTTGTCAACCCCACCCTCACCCATCATGCTTTTGACCTTTCCTCGCTATTCTTGCAGGGCGCGGCGGAAACGCATGGCCAAGATCATCGCAGCAAAATCAAACTACACACGCAAAGGCAGAGGGAGAAAACAAAAGCGAAAGTAGTTGTCTGGGTGTGTGGTGTGTGCGTGTCTGCCTCTCTGTTCATCTTTCTCTCTGGGTGGTCGCATTGCACTCTTTGGTCCTTTCTGATCTCGCTTTTTGGTCATCTTTTTGATTTCGTGCTTCTTGCCGTCTTTTGCACAAAGTACACATGAACCCAACACACGCACGACATCATGAACATCATCGCTTCACGTGGTTGATGAAGCGTGCGGCAAGGAAGGAGAGCACGAGAAATGCGCACGCAAAGCCGACGACAATAAACAGGCCGAGCCAGCGGTCCTCATAGTCAAGGCCAAGGAAGGTGTGCACATACTCGGACACTGCCATGTCACGAACGCCTTCCACGGTGACAATGGGAATGGTGGGACACGTGCCTGTGGCGTTTCCAGCGCCTTCGCAGTGGAACTGGGGCACCACCATGGCATTGAGGGCGTACCGAATGTAGTTGGCATACCAGAGCCAGCGATAGCCTTCGGGCATGTCGGGCCCGGGGAGAAACAGGCCGCCAAACATAAAGGAGATGCCAAGCACGGAGGCGCTGGCCAGCGTCGCCATTTCGGCAGTCGGGAAGGCGTGTGCACCACGTCGGCCAGCGTGTGGCACATCCCCGGTCGTGTCCAGCCAACCAAGCCGACCGCAGAATCATCATCGATCTCATGACTGAGGATGTCACGTGTACGTGGGCACGTGTGTGCGTTCGTACAGTATATGTGGTCAGCAGCCAGGGTCGATGAGCAGCACATCCCCAGCGACGTGTGGAATGGCGTAGATGAGGCCATTGCTTGCGAGGACGCCTTCATGCCACTTGTCGATGCCAGAAGTGACTGGAAGCGACGTGGTGTCGGTGGTGTTGGTTGCTGGGTCGATGATGAGGACAGATTCCGCATTAAGCGGGATGCCGAAGATGTTGCCGTTTGGTGCAAGCACGCCGCCGAGCCACTTGGAACCGTCGCTCGAGAGGCCGGTGATGGCCGTCGTGTCGGCCGTGTTTGAGGTGGGGTCGATGACGAGCACTGTCGTGGCGGATTTCGGAATGCCGTAAATGAGACCGTTCCGCGCGAGCACGGTGCCAAACCACTTGCTGCTACCTGTCAACCCAGCAATGGATGTGGTGTCTGCGGTGTTCCTGGCTGGGTCGATGATGAGGACGGCGTTTGCGCTGTGTGGCACGCTGTAGATGAGCCCGTTGGCGGCTTGAACACCCCCGAACCATTTGAAGTAGTCCCCACCAAAGCCAGATATCGTCGTGACATCTGTGGTGTGGAGAGTGGGGTTGATGATGAGCACAGAGCTTGCAGACCACGGAATGCCGTAGATGTGCCCGTTGTGTGCGGCAACCCCGCTCCTCCATTTTCCGCCACCGCCGCCGGAAGGCAGTCCGCCCAGGGTGGTGGTGTCCACGGTGTTTGCGCGTGGGTCGATGATGAGCACAGACGTTGCGCTTTCCGGAAACCCATAGATGAGCCCGTTGTCGGCCAGCACGCCGCCCGTCCATTTGCTGCCGCCTGCAGGCAAACCGGAGATGGATGTTGTGTCGGCGGTGTTGGTGGCAGGGTCGATGATGAGCACGGACGTGGACAAGTACGGGATGCCGTAGATGAGCCCGTTGTCGGCCAGCACGCCGCCAATCCAGCCGCGGTCCATCATGCCCATGTTTGGAATGGAACTTGTCGTTGGCGGGAAGCGACGGCACAGCGCCTCGCGTTGCTCTTGCAACTGAATTGCCTGTCTTGACACCACACGCTGCTGTTCAAGCACAAGCGCGAACATCTTGCCCACGTCCACTCCGTTCACAAACACTGGTTCAGTCAGCGCATCGCTCGTGTTGATGTGCAGGGCGCCGCTCCCGTCCCGGCCAATGCCGACATCACCACTGAGCGCTGCAGTTTGGGGCAGTGGTGCGACAAGAAGAAGCAGCAGCAGCAGCAGCAGTAGACGCAGCGGTGGGAGGAAGAGGAGGAGGGTGAGGGTTGACATGATGATCGTGGCTGGTGGGTTGTGGTGTTGTGCGTTTTGTTGGAGAGTGCGTCTTGGCATTTCGCTTTGCTTTTTGCCAGCAACAAGAGTGCTTACCACAGAGAAGCAGTGCTTGTCAATTCTGATTGTGCTGAGGCTCAAGAGACACTCAGCGTTCATTCATCCATCCACAAGAACAC